CTGATCTCCCCACAGAGATGATAAACTTAAGGGCAGCCACTACATCTTGTGTGGATATCCCATAATACCAGCAAGTGCCACACTCACAAGTATATTCAATAAACACTTATTCACTCCTCCAAAGCCCCCTCTACCTCTCTGCCTCCAAGACCTGGGTGTTGATGGGGTGTGTGGGTCTGCCTAGGAACCTCTGCAGTTGTCATTAACTCATGCACTGTTCCCCTTGGTGACTCCCAGATGAGGCCAGGGAGGCACTGTGTCCTGTCCAGGTTCATTGGGCTGAGTCATAATTACCTTAGTAACAACCATGCCAGCTATTATTTTTAGCACCTTGTACACATCAGCACTGTTCTAGATCTTACATTTATTAGTTTATTTAATATTCACCCAAAATTTTGATAGTTATTATTATTACTAGTGGCCCGGTACACAAATTCATGCACATTGAAAGAAAATTAATTATAAGAAATATTTTAATATCATTACTCACCCTTTCTCTGTGATAGAAATGTCAACCAAATTCACAATCAAAAATGACAGATCGAAACACATGTGTGCAATTGGTGCCAGCGAGAGCTTTATATGTTTCACGCATGTGCGAGTCAACTTAGCCATATATATTAAACTTGCTTAATTAGACCCGCTTTCTGATGTAGCTAAACTTTTTCCAGCTCAGTGAAGCACCCCAACTTCTCTTTCAGGTAATTGTGAGCAACACAACAATAAATATCAACACAAAGCAGATTATTATTGTAGATCATGTAGGGAGAACAAAGGGTTTAATATTTAACTGCAGCAGTGTTTGACTATATTCTGTGCAGTGAGAAAACCTGAAGTCATTTTCAAGGTCCACTGTTTCTTCTTTGCGTCGAGTTAATTTTCTAAGCTTTCTAAATCTCAATTTTTCGGCTAATGAAAAGAAAATAGGATTCCATCAAGTCACCTATCTACCTACCTCAGGACTTCTGTGAGGATCAAATGAAATGAGATGAGGCACAGGATAAAGTGTAAAATGTTTCCACCTGGCTATAAAGCAAGCTGTGTTCCTGGGCTGAAGAAACTCCAAGAAGGCTAGTTGCTAGGGAGAGGAAGCCACTTGACATTGCTACGTGATGTCATTTCCCAGACAGACATATTAGCCTTTTATATACAGTACCAGTGCCCCTTGCAGGAAGATTCCTGCAATAGGGCTTCCTGCTGTGATCTCCACTGCCCTGCCTGCTTCCCTCTCTTCTCCCCAGCCCCACCAGCTTCTCTCCCTTCTCCCCCAACCCACCTGCTTCCCTTCCTTCTCCACTGCCCCACTTGCTTGTTTCTCTGCAGCTTCACTCCCTTCTGCAGCACTTGGCTTCTTTCCACGATGTCTTCAGTCTTCGCTCTGGTCTGGATATGCAAATTAACCGCCATCTTGGTTGGATTAGTTTGCATATTCACCCTGATTGGCTGGTGGGCATGGCTGGTGGGTGTAGTAAAGGTGCGGTCAATTTGCATGTTTCTCTTTTATTAAAGAGGATATACATTAGATGAAGAGACTGAATCCCACTGAGGTTGAGCAGTTTGCCCAATGTCACAGCTGATGAGAGTAAGAAAATGAAATTCAGCAGAAACCGGTTTGGCTCAGTGGATAGAGCGTCAGTCTGAGGACTGAAAGGTCCCAGGTTCGATTCCAGTCAAGGGCATGTACATTGGTTGAGGGCACATCCCCAATAGGGAGTATGCAGGAGGCAGCTGCTCAATGTTTCTCTCTCATCGATGTTTCTAGCTCTCTGTTCCTCTCCCTTCCTCTCTGTAAAAAAAATCAATAAAATATATTTTTAAAAAAAAGAAAGTGAAATTCAGATTCAGGTAGCCTGGCTCCAGAACCCATGCCATCAACCTCAGGGCCATCCTATCTCCAGTCCATGAAGGACCAAGATTAAGGCCTGTGGTCTGGACTGCCACCAGAGACCCTTCTCAACGGAGTACCCTGCATCATAACACAGGCTTGCCTTTTTGCTCGCTTCCTGTCACATGATCAATAGGAAAGCCTTAGACAGTAGGTTAAGATAAGTACTTTTTAAAAATGATTATAAATACTCTGCCAAACTATAGTAAATGTCTCTTGAAATTCTTCTATCCCAAACTAAAAGTTTGATCAGCATTTTAGCAGATATCCTTATTGACACCTTTGAATTCATGTGTGCGCAGATACATTCATTACAGTGTAATGTACTTGGCGCCTCATTCTGTAGCCAGGGATTGGGGGGAGGGGATTCTCTCTGTCAGCATTGGACACATAAGGAGATTACAACTCAAGAAGGGACTGGACTTGTCCAGTGGAGTGCCAGAGAGTGCAGGGGGTTTTGTGATTTGAGGGTAAGTGCTCAAAGCAAAGTCCACGTGTATTTTTTGACACCCGTTACTCAGGTTCAGCCTTGTCTCTGTCTTGCATGAGTGCCAAGCCCTTGATGCTTTCCGTTTTCTGGGAGTGTTGCCTACCAGACAGGAGATTTAGGGTGGCCCTGGCCAGGCAACTCAATTAGTTCGAGTGTCATCCTGATATGCCAAGACTGCAGGTTCAATCCCAGTCAGAGCACATACAAGAAACAACCAAAAGAATGTATAAATAAGTGGAACAACCAATGTTTCTCAAGTCAATGCATTTAGAGAGAGAGACAGAGAGAGAGAGGTAGATAGATATGGGGTATTTGGCTAGTAGGAATATTTCTACAGCTCTCAACAAAAACAGCAGTTGAGCTTTTGAGTGGACTAGTCCTGTGGCATTTCTTGGCGTTGTGGCTCTCAGCTGCACAGCCTCCATGGATGTTGCATATGATTGCAAATGTGGCTCAGCCATGAGGACTGTTCCAGTGCCTCCTTCCCTTCCGGCAGCATTCAAGGCTGTTTGGAAGCAGTTGGGGGGGAATGGAATCTGAAACTTGGGGAGGGAGTGATGCTCATTACCTCATCCTAACCGTCTTCCTTCCTACTAATACCTTGGTCTTAGGGTGTATCTAGTTTTGCTGAAAATGAAATCGTCTATTCAGCCTCAGGCTGTGTTAGTGAAATGAACTCTAATGTGATTAGATATTAATGTAATGGCATGGAGGATTGGTATTAAATTGAGGCCTTTGGATCTTATTACTCCACAAACGCTCCTTCCTGGTCAGGCTGCTGCCCTGCCAGCCCTGCCTCCCCAAGCAAAGCGAGGGCAGTGGTGTCTGGGGAGGAGGGCAGAGGAGATGGTGAGAGCGGCAGCAGTGAGAGGAGGGCGACCAGCGCGGCCTCGTTCCTTCTCTGGGGCTCCAGTCTTCCTTTTGGAAGGAGGAGGGGCTGGGCCATGGGAGGCTGTCTCCGAGGTCCGCTCTCTGGACCATGAGCGTGTACTGGGGGCCCTGGACATACAAGGGTCGTGTCACCTTCACATCCAGAAGCACTTGCAGATTTTTTTTTGATAAGCCTAGGGCTAGTACCTCCTCCACTCCCACCCCTCTCCACCCCAATCTTTTCTGTGAAGCTGATTGGCTGTTGTCACTTACCCTAGGCCTGTTTCCCTTTCCTGGGTGGTGGTCTGAGAAGCAGCCCCCGCAGTGGCCCGTGCATCCCCAGACCTGCCAGAAGGATGCACATCTGTCATGGGTTCCACAGCTTAGCTGGGAAGTGACAGCCAGACCTGTGAGAGCTCAGGACCAGGGCAGAAGCCCTACAGGGCCACAACTTGCCCAGCAGAATCTCTAAGGGCTGGGTGGTCTGGGAGCAAAGCAGTCCCCTGTAGAGAAAGAGCCAGGAGTGCCAGCTCTGGGGATGGTCGACGGCATCACCTTCACGTATGAATGATAGCGTTTGTACAAGGAGGGTGATTTTTCTTGTGATGTTTCCAGAAAACTGCTTTCAGAGGCACAGACTTTGCACACAGGATGATAACGACTTTTTAATGACCTTAAGGGGCCTGGTGTCCAGGCAGCAGTGAATCAGTCTCAGTGGGAGGCTCATAGCAGAGAGAAGATGGAACACCTGAAACCAGAGGGGAAAACAAACTGCAAATACATCCATTTTCTTTGGTAGTGTTACTTGGTAATTAGACAATTACAGGAACAGCTTCCAGCAGCTGGCATTTCCACTGTGCAGTGGAGGAGGGATGGCAACAATGGTGAACTCCTCACATTTATTACAGAAAGTATTATTGGCGTTTACAGTCGTGGGTGCCATGCGTTCCTCCCAGGCATTCTGATGAGCTGTGAGCGAAAACCACGAGGGAGCGCCTCCTCGCAGGGCTCCCGCCTGGCTCAGGAGCTTTAAATGAGCTGGCTTACCCTGCTGATCCACGAGGAGCTGCCTCTGACATGTCAGGGCTCCTTTGGGGCCCACCGGAGTCCAGACAGTCCTGAGAACAAACCTTTGGGGGTTTAATCCCAATCCTCCAAAGGATTCGGAAGCTGAAAGGGAGGATGGAGGCCTGTGGGAAATTGCCTCTTCCTCCCCAGGTGCCATCTCTTGCATGGGGTTCATTCCTCAGTGAGCAACCTCCACTTCTCTAACCACGGTGCTGGGACTTCCCAGGGCACTTTGCCCTCAGTCCTGCCCTGATTCTCCTCTTCCCAGAATCCCCAGGGAAACCACTGTGCCACTTTATATGGCCATGCAGCTAGTGGCCCCTGAGCCAGGCCCGTCTCACAGAGGAGATGTGTTTCACGAACTCCTCGCCGACCTGGGTCACGTATATTTGGCACACTCTTGTGAGCTTGGTGTGCAGTTGGCACTCATTTGTGGAAAGCTTTATAAGAAGCCACGTCACCTTCACAGAAGGCTGGAGCACCTTCTCCAGTGAGACTGTAGCCTCTGATGGGACACTGGGTACTGCTGCCTCCCTCAGCCACACATTCTGTGCAGCCTGTCCCTGTCCCTGTCCCCCACCCCTCCTCCAGCACAGGTCTCCCGGGGACAGACAGGCGGCCTTCCCTCTCCGTGTGCTCGGTTAACTGTGCCTCTAACCAGGCGGATGGTTGTGCTTCCTCCCTCAGGTCTTGGCAGTCGGTAACGTTTGAAAGACAGCCTGCCTCCTTCATCCGAATCGTTGGAACACACAACACAGCAAATGAGGTAAGGGTCTCCTTCTTGAAAGACACTGTGATAGTTCCTGATGTACAGGTAATGCGACGCCCGAGTTAAGTGGAACTGTTTGTTCTGCCCGCTAATGGCCCGCTGTCGACAGCTTGGTACAGCAGAAAGCTCTGCTCCTGCACAGAGGGGATATCGTTACCATTTCTGTCTCTCCAGCAGCGGCTGAAAGCCAATCCTGTGGCTTTGCTTACCCCTCCAGCCCCTGCGGATCGCAGCCACAGGGACCTTGAGAGGTCAAATGCCCTGTCCTCAGAGTCCTCTGCCTCCCAGAGGACAGCTGTTCAGAGCCCCCGTGGCTCAGCGTGGTGGTGAAGGACCCCAACCCCACGGGGCAGCAGTGGTGTGGTCGCTGGGTTCCTGTCTGCCTGCTGGGTCCTGTGCCAGCTGCACAGCCATGTTTATGGCCGAGCCGCCTTCCGGGCCTGCTCCTCCAGGGCCCAGGCCTGGCTCCGGGGACAGGTGCTCATTCCAATGGACCATGCTGTTTGTAGATGGTCCTTCACCTTTGGATTTAATGAAGAAAGCGTGGGCAGGTTCTTCCCCTATTTTGGTACCTGTGGTCAAGGCAGCAGTCAGGTGAGGTGCCTGGGCCTCTGGCATCACCGTGCTGTTTTGTCTGGAATGGAAATGACTCAGAAACGGGAGCACAGCAACCTCAGGGTTCACTCACGGTGTCGGTGAGTGTCAGGTTCTGCTTCCATTCTAAGTTTAAAATAATTAATAGTCAATTGCTGGCCTTTTCTGTTCTTCAGGTAGATGTTGCAAAAACACCAGGGGTGAGGGTTGGTGTGTGGCAGATGGACTGAGTCTGCCCATCCCCCACTTGCTTTTGCACAGGAGTGTGTTTAGTGTGGACCTCTGAAGGACTTCGGGTTAAAGACAGATTTATGAGGAGCAGTGAGGTCGAAACTTCAGAGGTAAAGGAAAGGCACAAAGATAATAACAGTTCTGCAATTTCACCTTAACACGATATTTCTCAGATCTGCACAGGACCAGCCTCCTGAGCAGGCAACCAAGGCACTTGCATGGGCCCTCCTTCCTCCCCCACAGAAGGGGCCTGTGCTTGAGGTGGTGTACTTGCAGTACCGTCTGGAAATCCTTAGCAGTTTTACCTTTGAATTATTTTATAAGGGAAGCCCCATGAGCAGGGAAACTCCCACTTGGGCCTTGGAGCCTCAGCTCACACTCAGGCTCGTCTCCGCCCCTTCTGCCTTCCCAAGAAGAGTTCCCTGACCCCTGGTGGCCCTTGTCCCTCCCCAGCCTGCCCACAACCACTGCCATCCTTCCCCAGGGGCACTGGCACATTTGCAGAGAGGGTGTGAGTCCCAGGATCGGGCCCCTGGCACTGGTGAGCATCTAGCCTAGAGTCCCTGTGCCAAGAGAGTGCCCTGTGACGGGTCAAGAGAGAGGCTGGAGAAAGCTTTCCTGCCTTTTGAGCAGAGAGTTCCAGACAGCAGGGCTAGCAAGATCGAACATTGTGTTTGTCGAATCAGGTTCTCCAGAGCACATCCAGGTGCTTCTTGTTCACAAAAGCATTTTTAAAAGTGAAAATATTGTGCAGATTTATATTCATTTTGCCTTTTTATTTATTTAGAATAAAAATGATACACATCCACAATATGTTTCTTGCAGAGAACTTGTAAATAGTTCTGGCCCTCAAACACCTTTTATCTCTTTATTTCAAAACAAACTTGAAAATTATAAAAGTAAGTGAATGGATAATTTTTAAACCTTGAAATAAAGAATTCTAAGCATCAGGTCATAAAAACACTTTTTGGATCACATAATGAAAGTCAATTTAAGGCTACATTTTAATACATCCATGATTCCCATATTTTTTGAGTTTTGTGAATAAATCCCAATTTTTCTTACCACTTAAATTTGTTAGCTAAAATGAAATATTGATGTTCTGCGATTATGTATTACAACGAAAGGAATTCTTCAGTGGGAGAGGGCTGAGAAGCACTGGAGAGAGTCTGAGAGGGTCCCAACCCCTCACCTCAGCGACCAGATGAAGAATCCCTTCGTCACACACTCCAAAGCTGGAGCGCGCTCTCTCTCCCTGGACCAGCTGGAGTGAATGGGTCAGCTGGGAGGACACTGTGATCGGTCACATTTGGCCATGAGCAACTCACTCAGCTGCCTTAGTGAGTCAGTTATTGATCAGGAAAAGAGCTTCAGTGTAGTGTTGCCAACAGGGAAACATCTTAAACCATTAAATAAATGGTGACCGGACCACAGGCAAGATCATAATGTGTCATTCTCAGAGTGAATGAGGCACACAAACGTTGAATTTCACTGGGCATCAAGCACATAGCAAACCCTCAACGAGGAGTGTTATTGGCTACACATAACTGGGTTCTGGGACAACATATGGAAGAAACAGTCACCTGTCTTAGCACAGCAGGAATGTGTGTGAGTCAGGCTGGCAAAGAGGCTTGAGGGGCAGGGGTTGATGAAGGGAAGGAGTGACTCGGGCTGGTTGGCAGGACTCCTGGCAGATAACAGCCAGGAAAGGGGCTGGGGCAGAATCGGGACCAGAATGCTGAGGGTGAGAGCCTTGCCATCATGCCCCATGGGGTCAGGGCTCCCGTGTCATAGTGGAGGGCAGTGTCGAGGGGGTGCAGAGTCCCTCAGTGTGTCACTTCTGTGTGCCAGCCGACATCAGTAGCCTCCGTTTTGTCAGAGCCAGAGCCCGTGCCCATGTAGACACCCAATGTCTGCCAGTCTGAAGACTGTGCAGATTTCAGAAGCATGGATAGTCGTGGTTTCTCCCATGGAAAGGTCAGCTTGTCTGTGCGATGACAGAAAAAGAAATGTGAGGGAATCACCTGCCATGTCTCCCGGGTAAGACTGTTTCTGCAGGTGCGTCCTATCCAGAGAGGCAGGGCCCCAGCCGGGGATGGTGGGGAATGTGCAGCGTGGAGGCTCCTGTGAGTTAAAGAGCATTCAGTGGAGATGGGGTGGGGCTGTTCTAGAAAAAGGTGGACAAGTCGCCTGAACATGTCTAAGTGGCCAGGCGATCGGCAGCTGTGCGACAGTGGCATGGAATCTGCCCTGACCTCCAAACATCGGCTGCTATTGGGATAGCAGAGCCTCCCACCTAAACCAGATAGGAATTTCATGCCTGACATCACTGTGCGCCTGTCATGCTCCAGTCGGCCAGACCTTCCTGCAGCAAGGCTCAGCTTCTGTCTGCTGCATGCTAATTTCCCCACTTCTCTCCACGGGGCCCAGCCTGGGCAGTCTGTGGAGGTTCAGATTTCCTGATCACCTGTTTGGGCACGCTTCTGATTTCCTGCGGTATTTCATCCCTCTCCTCTGGGAAGTGTATGTCTGCTTCGGGCATCTGCCTCATCTTCCTTTGTGAGCTCCGCAGCAGTGAATTCCTTTAATGTGTTAGCTATGTTTATGACTTCTGTCAATAAGCCCCCCTATGCTCGCCTCTTAAAGACTGCACCACTGCCTCCAGTGACCGCCTGCCCCTGGTTGCTCTGTGCCATCTTTGTCATTAAACCTAACTTCTTAGAACATTTTCCTTTCATTCCTGTGTGTGTGTGTGCATGTGCGCACATGTGTGTGTCATGTTCTGCTCCTCTCTCCCTGTGCTTGGTGTCCTCCTCACATCTTGTGTGTTTCTCTCTTCTACCCTTGGCGCCTTTTTGCACATCCTCTGTGCCCACTTGCAGGGGTTCCTTTGTCATCCTCTCACACTTAGCACTAGATGGCAGACACATGCCAGTTTGTCTTCTAGCACATGCACCTCATTCTGCTCTCCTTCAGTTTTCATTCATGTGCTTCTTCCCAGCACCTGCGCCAAAATGGTCCTTCTTGGCTGTTTCCTCATTTGCTTTCATGGAAGCCTCAGTCGCCAACTCAGCAATTGTGTGGTTACCTGCCTACCTGCCTCGACTGCTGATGACTGAGCTAATCAGGAGGCAGACATTCCTTCCATCCTCCTTTTCCAGAAGAGGTTAGAAACTGGGCCTTGTCAACAGCACCACTAATGTCATGGGATCCGAAGTTTTAGCTGCAGTGACTGTCCTGGAGCCAGCCACACTGGTTCTGATGCTGCGCCACTCATGGCCCCTTCATTTCATCTCATGAATTTCCCTAGCAATGTGAAAGCTCCCCTTAAAGGGAGCAGGGTGGGCCCAATCAGGGACTGTCTGCATCTGTGAAAATCAGTGTATCAAAAGAAATAGAAGTTATGCCTGTTTCTTTTCGTGGCTCTTATAAAAACCTGAGCTTAAGAGTAAGTTTTTGCTGTGATTTTCCCCCTAATCTTTATTATTCAAATTATTACAGTTGTTCCTCTTTTTGCCCCCCATAGCTCCCCTCCACCCAGTTCCCACCCACCCTCTGCCCTTAACCGTCTCCCCCACTGTCCTTATCCATAGGTGTACGATTTTTGTCCAGTCTCTTCCCACACCCCACACTCCTTTCCCCCCGAGGATTGTCAGTCCACTCCTTTTCTAAACCCCTGATTCTATTCTATTCTATTCACTAGTTCATTCTGTTCATCAGATTTTTTATTGACTTGATTTTTAGATTCACTTGTTGATAGATATGTATTTGTTGTCACTTTGTTGTTCATAGTTTTTGTCTTTACCTTTTTCTTCTTCCCCTTCTTAAAGAATACCCTTCAGTATTTCATATAATACTGATTTGGTGGTGATGAATTCCTTTAGCTTTTTCTTATCTGTGAAGCTCTTTATCTGACCTTCAGTTCTAAATGATAGCTTTGCTGGGTAGAGTAATCTTGGTTGTAGGTTCTTTTTATTCATCACTTTGAATATTTCTTGCCACTCCCTCCTGGCCTGCATAGTTTCTGTTGAGAAATCAGCTGACAGTTGTTTGGGTGCTCCCTTGTAGGTAATTGTTTTTCTCTTGCTGCTTTTAATATTCTCTCTTTGTCTTTTGCTCTTGGCATTTTAACTATGATGTGTCTTGGTGTGGTCCTCTTTGGATTCCTCTTG